AAAAAAAAAAAAAAAAAAAGAGTAAAGCAAACCCCAAAACCCATGACTCTTAAGCAAATTACAGGGGTGAGAAAAGAATGCTTTGTATCACACACCATTTATATCAGTGGTAGGTTCTCTACGGATAGTTTCTCCTTTCAACAGCTGGGAAGGAGGTGAGCCAGCTGGCAGGGGGACACGTTTTGAACTTTCAGTTCAGGTGAAGCTTACGCCTTTCTCCAGATCCCTAACTGATCTCGGCTGTGAAGCGAGGGTGTTTAGCTATTTCCACACTGAGGACACCACTTGGAATATGCTGTTAGGTGCCCATGTGTATTCCTTCCTTCTCCATCGCTCCAGCGTGTATTTCATCAAGGCAGTAAGTTTCTCTCTGCAGGAGCAGTCACCGCACTGTAAATCCCTGTGCGGCGGCCCGTGCTCTGCAGATTGTCCAGTACTTGAGCACATGGCCCTGTGGGAGCCCATGAGACACAATGGAAAGTCTGATGGGACTTTTGGCAAGGACTTTTCATTTCTAGTGAAAGAAAGACATCTGCGGGAAGAAGTGCTTTTGCACCCGTTCTTTTACTCCTTCCCTTAGAAAGTGTAGTGTCGGTTACCATGGGACCACAAGGCTCTGTGTCAGGAGAGAAGGACAATGGGAGGAAACTGGAGATTCAGGAAGATGGCCTAGTGGCCCTGAGGGAGGAGAGATTAGGAGCCACCAAAGGACACACAGAAGATGATATGAGAGGCAGAGGGAAGAGACTCGGTGGGCATGACTAGGGAGGATCAGGCAGAGACCAGGAAGGGCTGCAGATGGTATGGGGCTGCTGGGGTATTGGAACATGCTGACAGTTGAAAGTCTTGGTTCCCATGGTTCTTTAGGCCTGACAGTTCACCCATATTTAAATAGTTGAAAGAAGTGCATTCTTAGTACATCTGAAATTCGGTTCATTAGGACCATTGGATGCCATGTGGGCTGTGCCAATGATCTTCTCTTGATTCTAGCAGTTAGCTCCTTCTGTACCTGAGACCATCAAAAATTTGGGGGAATTGGTCATCTAAACACAAAGAAAGACACTAAAGTAAGGGCTGGCTGAACAAAAATGGCTTTAAAAAAGATCCAAAAGTGAACAAAATAAACTGAAACATTCTTATGTGAAATGTTGACATTTTTGCTCCTGTTGTAAGAATATATGTTGAAAGATTAATAGTGAAGTTGAGCATCTTTTGATTTTTTTATTGGCTTTTGAAGTGTGTCTACACATGAAAGGCCTGTTTATATATTTGGCTCATTTTTCTATCGGTTGGTTTGTCTTTCTGTTTGTATGAGTTTGTTGCCTATGATGTATGTGTTTCAAATATCTTTTCCAAATCTCTACTTCGGCACGTAGGCCTTTCATCCATTTGAAATTTATTGTGGTGTCTTATAGGAGACTGGAATCTAATAGGAGTTTTATATTTAGAAGCCAAATTTCATGACAACTTTTGCTGAAAAATCTGGTCTCCATTCTCTGCAATGTCTGCTTGTTAAGAGTTTGGTGCAGAAGAGTTCATTTCAGAATCGCCTATTGTGTGTTAGCCAAGTGCTCTATAAATTATTGCACATGGCTTAATTATTGCATTATTATCTAGAATGTTTTGTTGCAAAATTTCTTACCTGTTCTGTTTTTAATGATTACAGTTGAGATTTAGAATAATTTTGTCAAGTTAAAATATAAATGCTGGCATTCAGGAAGTTTAAGTGGATGGAGGATAGCTGATATGGAAATTTTTGCTTTATGAACTCTTAGTATGAGTTATTACACACCAGCCTCCTCAGCAAGCAACACTTTTATTGTATACTATGAAGTCCTTCTCAACTTACGGGTCTCTAACCGGTATAAAGCTGGCTAAGACTACGATCATTTATTCATTCATCCATCATCTTTTGTTTGTCAAGCTGATTACCAGCAGACATGAGAAAAATCCCAGGATCCTGGATATCACCCCTGTCTCCTTCACAGGTTATTCTGCAGAACCTTCTCTTCTGTGTCATCCTGTTCTACACAGTGTACTATGCGTCTCTGAGCTTGTGCAGCCTGACGCTCAAGTAAGTACCATTTGTCTTCCAACAGAGTGAGAAAGTTAACACTGAATATGAAAGGAGTTTATATTTAATATTTGACATGTCTCTGGATTAGACAATGCAGGGTTTTTTAGTGCATTTTTAAAATCTTTTGTTGTCGAAGTAAAAATAAAAGTGCTCCATCTTTGATTGTTTTTGTTTTTTTTTTTTT